AATACTTGCTTTAATTAGACACAGGCCTGATCTGCTCGACTGCAACCACCACCCCCTCACACCTCACGAAACCAACCTTTACAACCCGCCTCATTCCCCCTTCACACCCACACCTCACACAACTCCCTCCTCACACCCACGCGCACACATACATACACACACACATACACACATACACACACACACGCACACGTACGCACGCACAGCACACACACACACACACAACACACCACCACACACACAACACATACATTCCACACTACACCACATTACACACACACACACCGACGCGGGACGCACGCACGCACACACCACACACACACACAACTACACACACAACACCACACACAATAACACACCACACACACACACACACATACACCCTATACAACCCCACCCACTTACGAATCCACCCCATACAACTGCCACCCCCTCATCCCCACTCACGCAACCACCACATACAACTCCACACCTCGCCCCATTACGCATGCACCCACCCAATAGAAATCCTGTCTCGCCCTCCACTCAGCCTTACGCACCCACCCAATACAATCTCGACTCCTCACCCACCCCTCACGTAACCACTTTTTCCACCACCACCCACCCTTTCTATGGACTCCCGGCCCTTCAATGAGCCCGCCTCTCTTTATAATTGCCTTTACTGTCCTGTAATAGCGAGGTCTGGAGCGTCACACGTATAAGTTATTACCTGGACGCCTGCCACGTAATCACCCCGCATCCACGACACACACACACCCACCACACCACACCACCCACACCGCACCGCAACACCCGTAGTGTCAGCACCACAGCACACACACACACAACACACACACACACCACCACACACACACAAACAACCCAAACCAGCCAACAGCACACAACACACACCGCAACACACACAGACACACACACACACACACACACACACACGCGACGCGACGCACGCACGCACGCGACGCGCACCCGCACGCACGCCAGCACCACGACACAGCAGCTACCACGCACGCACGCACCACACACGCACACACACACCACACACACACACACACATACACCACACACACACACACACACACACACACGGCGCGCACACACACACACACACACGACACACACAGCACACACACACACACACACACACACTTACACACAACGCCACATCACACACTCACCACACAGCGCACTCGGCACGAAGACGACCGACTCGACGAAAGAGGCGTTGTTTTTTAATCGCAGGTAAATTCATGTAAACGCAAGATTGCATGTTTATCACGGGCCAACTCAGATGAATGCGCCTCTGTAACTCACATGTAAACTCGGCCAACGTTAGTTTGTTAATCACAGGTAAACTCAGGTAAATGTAGTCAATAATCGTGAAAACTCGTCGTGTGACCTTCGCACCGCAGACAATACGATCCCTATGTGTCCGCCATTGTGACATCGTTAACTCGCATACGTGGACGAATCGCACATGTACACGTGTACAAACCCCGCAAGCGACTACAAGGATGACAGAGCGAGAGAAGAAAGAGGGGCGAGAGAGCGCCGTGAGATATGGAAAGAGAGTGTTTACAGAGGAGTGCGTATGTAGGAGAAACAGAGCGTGTGAGCGAAGGAGCATGGGAGAGAGGGGTGGACGAGAAAAGGGGCAGAATGAGTGGCAAGAGAGAAAGTTGTTAAGCACAAGTGGTAAAAAAAAGAAAGCGAGAGCGAGAGTGTGTGCGAGAGAGAGCGATTAGAATGAAAGAGAAATAAAACGCGGAAAGATGTCGCAGAAAGGGAGGGGCAGAACAGGAGAGGGATGGAATTAGTCATCGCTAAAGTAACTTTATATACACGCATAGCATGGCAATTAATTGCTCGCTACATTAGGCCTTTGCTTTATAGGGAGGCATACAACAGTTAAGCGCTCCGCAAATTGTTCACCGCTTGCACAATTTCGTCTCTAGAAAATGGCCTTTTTGGCGATTTTGTTTCGCCAAAATTCGGCACTAGAGGCAATAATTTGCATTATGCACGCAAGTTAGATGCGCCCTCGTGGACGTCTAGAAGCAATTAGAGCTAAAATTGGTCTTGCTTGTGTATTCCGTGACATTCCGTCTAGGTGGCGTAGCCAGCAGCGACCCCGGACTTGGTCATTTATTCGTGCTTCAAAATGTGTTCAGGACACTTGTGCCAGAATTCGCATCACAGAAACTGGCAAAAGTTTCGAGCGTAGAGCAATTAGAGCATGGAATCTGGCTGGGGTTGGGATGTGTGTGGTGTGTGTGTGGTGTTCGTGTGTGTGTGTTGCGATGTGTGTGTGGGTGTGATGTTCAGTGTGTGTGTGTGTGGTGTGGTGGTGAGTGTGGGTGTGGCGGTGGTGTATGTGTGTGTGCGTGTGCCGTGTGGTGTGGTGCCGTGTCGCGTGGCGTGTGCGTCGCGTGGTGCTGTTGCAGGCCATTGTGCGTGTGGCGTTGCGTGTGCGTTATGCGTTGCGTGTGCGTCGTGGTGTGCGTGTGTGGTGGTGTTGTGTGTGTGTGTTGTGTGTAGTGCGGCGCGCCTGATTGTGTGCGCCCGCGGTCGGGTGACGTGTGTGCTGTGACTTGGGGTCGTGCGGCGTGCGTGCGTGTGTTTGTTGATGTGCGTTGCGTGTCGTTGTGTTGTGTGTTGTGCTGTGTGGGTAGTGTGTTTATGCGTGGAGCGGCACACGGCGCTCTTGTATTAATGTAAAAGGCAGACGGCGTGTCAACAAACGCGTGAACTTAGCGCTTCTTACATGTTGTTGATAGTCGGGTTTTTTTACGCGAGTGGTCGGCGGTAGATCGGCGTTAGATGCGTGGGGCTCGGACGATCCGTCGGCAGCATGACGGACATCGCCGTCATTATAAACGCAAAGTACGCACGTAGGTATATCTCCCGGGACCATCAAGTTTCTGTTTAGTAGGACAATAATATTCACAATAATATCAAATGATCAAATATATATAATAGGCAATGCCATACGCTGCAAAGCAACGCGCTCCGCTATGCAATGCAATCAATTCGGTGCACTGTCAGCTTAATGGTGCGCAATGGAACTTCATTAAGATGCATGAAACGACCCGCCATGCGGTTGCAACACAAACGAGCCTCATTGCTAACTTATAGCTTATGTGGCATCGGGTGATAAGCTTGTTCGAACCCACACGGGCTAGTGAGGCAGCGGATATCTGTGTCCCGTCAAGACTAGTCTACGCCTTCACTACACACACGCGGGATATAATAGAGGCGGTAGTAATAGGGCGCCGCCCCATAAACATTGGGGCAGTTTCTCCGCTACCAGTCAGTATTGGCAGGGTCCTTGCCCGCCTTTATTAAATGCAAAACTAAAAAGAAAATGCCAGTGCGAACTAAGATGATACAGCAATTCTTATTTTT